ATACTTGTTTATTATAACTTTACTTTAAAACTAACCCCTAACCCTAACCCTTAACCCTAAAAAATGCACCCCAAAAAATTTTATTTTTCGAGATTTTGTATTATAATTTCATTTTGATCTGGATTTCATTATGATCCGTCACAATAATTAATTGATTATTATCGATAATAATTAATCGATTTAAATCAAATTGATAATAATCGATTATAATCAACATATACAAAAAATTAATTAAAAATGATTAAACTAAATCGATTATAATCAATATTATCAATTATAATTGATAAAAATCTGCTTCAATTTTAATTGACGGTGTTGATGAAAATCATTTGAAATATTTAGGTTTTAATCGATTCTAATCGACTTTAAAAATTTCCTGATGTAGATTATACTTTTTTAATTTTAATTATTAATTTAAATTTTAATCTTAATTAAATTTTTTTTTAAGATAAGGTTTGTTTTTCTCTTTATATTAATAATTTGTATAAAGAATTTACTAAAAGTTTTTAATTAAAGTCAAATTTTACAAATTTTTATACAGTGGGTGCTTATATAGAGGTGTGACCATATAGGATGTGATTATAGAGAGGTTTGGCTGTATAACATATGCCCTGTGAAGATGTTACGTGTGAAGTTCCTGATATGCATTCAGCTACCTTATTTATTAAGTAATTTGAAACGAAGTTAACTTTCAACACTAGCGGCATCTAAAAATACATATTGATTTTTAAGGAAATTTAAAAGAAATTTTTATAACCATTTGGTTAAACAAAACAAGATATAGTACGCTAATGGATATTATACTAAAGAATTGGAATTTGACAAGAAATTATTGGAATTGTGACTGTGTGACAATTTTTTAATAAATGAAGAATTTAAGGAAATTTTACAGATTTCCGCGATCATCTGCTAGTAATTTGAAAAGCAAACGATTTTTGTATCATGTGAACTGTAAGTTTTAATTTAGCCCTATCTGAAATTGTAAGGGCACTAGCAGCGCCCACTTAAAATGTATTTATTTATTTATTTAGATAATATTGGCTAAAACATATTTTATGTTTAGTTTATTTATAAACAACCAGATATTGTAATAAAAATGTAAAAAAACTATAAAAATACCAATAAGATATATTTAATATTTGAAATTATCAAAAAATCATAAGCACGAATAATAAACAAATGAGTAATATAAAAAAGAAAATTTTAATCTTTGCTATCCTAATAATTTATATAATATTTTCTTTTTATAAAACTTATTAAATCTTGAACTGATATAAATAATCATAATACGGTTTATTTTCTTCAATAGTATCATAGACAATTTGTGGAAATTCAATTTCAGCATCATGTTTATCAGTAAATTTATTAAAGCCAGTACTATTTTCCGCATTACTAGTTAGGATAAATTTATGATAGTGGTTAAACAAAATTGACAATTTAATTTAAAATTTTAAAATAAATATACTTACTGGATCATAAATTTTGAAATCCCATCTCCAGCATTTGCATCGCCCCACTCTTTAACAGGTTTTGCTTCCCAATGAGTCATTTCTTCTTTAAATTCCTCTCCAATTAATTCACAATATTTCTTTAAAATTCTTTCTGGATCGTTAACCAAATCATCAGCATCCACAACAATAAGTTGTTTATTTAAATCTTTTAGCAAATCAAAAATCTGTTTGGATTCTTCCAATCCTACTGAATTTTTATCGAAGCCTTTGGCAGAAAATTCAGTATTTGCTTTAGATAAGAATTGTTTTGCTTTATATAAAGATTTTACCGACTTTTCAGGATTACGGATTAAAAATGTGTGTGTCATCTCTAAAAAGTGTGGACTTGATAAAATGGTAGTTCCCAATGTAAACCTTAAAAAACAAACTGAATGTTCTTTACAAAATACTCGTTTTGATTTATTCAAGGATTCATCATAATGAGTTTTCCAAATTTCGTCAAATATAGATAAAACCTTTGGCATGTATAAGTTAGGATCAAAAGGTTCGAAAGAGGGCGCAATGCCATTTTCATAAGCGAGTTCAAGAAATGGTCCACGAATAATGTGAAATTCTTGAGGGCGTTGAATAAATGTTCGCTGAAATGCATGGGAAATAGATCTGGGATGGGCTTAATAATAATAATAGTAATAATAAAATTTTTTTTAAAAGCCATCACTAATAAAGGTAATATATGTAAAAAATATGAATAATTGACATCCAAACTTTCACAACCCATAGTTTAATGAATTTACATGAACAAAGTATGGATTTCATGTTTATTCAAAATTCATCAAAACGTGGGATGTTGATCATTAAAATTTAGGTTTTATTTTTTAATTCTTGATATTTTTGATTCTTATTTACGCTAAAAAAAATAGTTATGAAATATTACTTACACCAAAGAATTATTGGCTTTCGTTCAGACATATTTATTTTTATATCGATATACCTATATATAATGAGTAGTGTTTAAAATAATATATTTAGATCATCTGTTTTTTATCGTTATGCTTTACTTCGTAAGACATTGCACAAATCTAGTTTTTTAAAAAAAGAAAAAAATCTAGAAAATATCCGTTGTTGCAAATATAGATAATTTGTTACAATATACATTTCAATATTAACTTGTAAGGATGGGCCACTGCGCAGCCTGAGCAGAATTTTTGAGAGACTGTGCGGTGTGATTGTTTAAATTTAGGCTAGTTGGTATAATTCTGGTCAGTTTGCATAATGCTGCAGGTTGCGCAGTGGATTCATCCATCCCTACAAATTTACTTCTTAACTATTGTAAAAGTCAGACCCTCCAGTTTTAAGGGCTAAGTGATGATTTATACACGGGTAAATAAATATTATATATATATATATATATATCGTACATACCAGGTAGATATATTGTCTTTATACAGTGTACTGTTATACCTGAACTATTTCTCTATAAGTGCGGGATAATTAAAGATAAATGTATTGTATTCGTAGTCGTAGGTATACACATAGCATTAAGCCAATAAATCGATATTAGTGTTAAATAGAATTTAATGTGATTTGCAATTACGAAAGAGGAAAGCGATTAAATTTATAATAAATCAAGGTGGCGCACGATCGTGAACTCACTTCTCAATTATTATGTGGTTATCCAAAAGATTAGTAATTCACTTACCGTTTGAGTCAATTATCGCGTATGAAGATACGATGTTTATTTTATTGAATAAAGAATAAGATGAATGCAATAATAATAAAACTAAATGAGAATTTAATGAATAAAAGGAGTAAGGAAATGTGAAGCCTATATATACGTTTTGAATGAAAGATGTACAAGAATAGATACATTTCTAGCCGATACTATTTTATTCTAAATTTTTCTAATTAGTTACCCGAAACTTGTACGAATTGCTTCGAAAAAATGGGTTTACTAATTTCCCCGCCTAGTGATACATATCGATAAAAATTTTACTATCATTTAATTGATAGATCATTTTATTCAACTAATCGATTGGACAACTAATCGATTAGTTGAATAAAATAATAAATAAAATTTGGTAAAATACATGTAAGGTAGTAACTGAAACAGTCGGGTTGATATTCTTATATCAGTTGATTAATTGACCAATCGACTAAGTTGGGATTGTAAAATTCGAATCGATTAGTTGTCAACTTTACAACTAATCAATTAATTTGATTTTCGATTTCCTCATCACTTCACTATCGGAGTACCATAATATTGATTAATAATATAGATACAGTACTCCGTTATGTAGAAGTGATGGAAACAATTACTAAACCCCAAACCAAACTTGTTGCAAATATGGTTAAACGATCGTTTTATATGTTGATCAATTGACGTAATTCGCGCTCATACAAAAGTATTGGTACGTACAAGTTTGAATTATGGAAATATCTGAGTACTCACGCCCGATTTTATGCATAAGTCTTATTAATCATGTGTCTATATCTTATATCCATTTTTTAGCACAATACATCTTCAGTTCTCTGATTGGTATTATTGCAATCTGTTTTTTATAGGAGCGCATATTTGATTATCTCAACGAATTCATTGAGGGAGATGCTTGAGAACGTAATATATCTAAATTCAGAAAAAAAGATAAATATTAACTTATTACAGCCAATGCACAAAATTGTGTAGTGATGTTATCTACTTTTTTTCGGCAATAATTTAACCAGAGATTCCGATATAGGGACCAATGAAAATTTGGGTATTTGTCTTGAAAATCATATGCGATTTCTGTTTTTATCCGAATTAGCCGATCAGTAATTAGACAAGGACAATTAGGATCTTTGCTTTGAAAATACTTATGCATATTGCTTATATGACTGCATCATACTAAATTCAACTGACACCATCCAAAGGATTTTACTTTATTTGCGCGAGTACCACAAGCCAAAAAAGGAAATTGGTTTTTTTGAGGTTTGGACTTTAACATTGGAGACTATCTCTTAAACCGTTTCTTGTACAAATTTGTACTGAAATTTTTTTTTAAAATTTTATTTTTAAAATAAAATTTTAA